GCGCGATAAGTTCTCAATCGTGGGAGTTTTGGTGTGGAACTCTGGGTGAAGAATTTGATAATAATATTATTTTGGAAAACGTAGATGTGTAGGAAACTCTGGTTTAGGTGGTTGGGGTCTATCGTGGGTGTCTTTAGGGGAATTAAGGTGGTTTTGGCGAGAACTTTGATCGAGGATGACGGACGCGTTTTTACTATGTGATCATCACGGCACGGAGTAGCAGTGTTTGTGTTGAACACGACGCAATATACGAAACACGAAAAATAATTTTTTCAACACGACGTGTTGGGAAAATGTTGGTCTTTACTAAATTGATGTATTTTTGTTTCCCTCCTGTCGTTGGCTTTCTTCTTTCTCTCGAGTACTATGGCGTCGCAGCTACCTGCTGATGAGCAGCGGATTAGAGCATTGGTAGTAGGGGGCGAGGAAGTGGATACGAGTCGTAAAGTGTAGATAGTAGTAAAATATATATGTTACAATAAAAATAATATGATTGTAATTTATTGGTACGATCTCATGTGATGGTAGTTTAGTTTATCTATGGTATGCATGAATGTATAAATTTACTAATACTTATTAGTAAATTTAGCCAATAAAGCGAATAATCTAATTTAGCTTGTTTGCTCTATTAAGCAGCCCAGATTTATCAAGTACCTTCGAAGATAGGTGCCGCATTTCGTACGTCTGGTTGAATATCGTGTTGTTACTGCAAAAGTAAAGTGTGAAATTAGGGGCGATTTGATCATTGGAAGTGTCATACACATACTAGTGCTGAGGCGTAGGATTTTACGCCCATCGACATTCCTGGTAGTGGGGCTGTTTTTGAGGGCGAGGAAGAGAGTTTTTGAGATGGGAGTTTTGGTTTATTTTTTCATCGGTGGATAAAATATTTTTAGATAGTATTCATTTATTTTATTAGTAGATGAATTTATTCTCAAATTGACTTAATTTTGGTAAATTTAGTTTTTTTTGAAAAAAAAACTAGTTTATTACTAGTTTAGTGGTTTTTAGTAAAGGATTATGAAATATTTTTCGTCTTGTTGTTTTTGTTGATAATATTTTCGATGGTTTTTTGAAAAAGTGGGAGTGTCTGTTTTCAGATAGTGAAAGTTGGTGAAGAGAAAAAGAAAATCCCGGGCAATTTGAAGGGGTTGTCGATCGGCCTGGAGGAGGATATAGTGCCGCATAAGCAGGTCATGCAGGATACTGTGATAGAATGGTAGGATGGGTATACTGTTGGTTTGTCTAGCGGGGGGTCTATGGTTCGATTCCTGGTCAAAGGATGGGCGCCTTTTGTATCCTCTTACATTCATCACTCTTGAGAGGATTTTGTTGTTATTTTTTGAATGGAGTTGACGATTAAATGGTGTTAAACGTGATACAATAATCGCGGAATTATCGCATCGCCAAAAAAACACTACTGAAGGCCTCCTGGAGCGGTTTTCGCGGTTTACCTGTTTTTTCTGGCGATTTTTTCCAGAGTGAAATTTGTGATGTGGTTTTCGCTATTGTTTTCCACTACGCGGGTGCATTTCCAATAAACAATATTTCGAAATCTTGTGAACTTTTTCGAGGATGATGTTGGCCGGAGTAGTGCAAAATTTAGTTCAGAAAATCTGAAAAGTAAAGTGCTACATTTTTCTACTTGAGCGTTTTACCGGTGTTATTGAGCAAAGGTGATCGCTTTTCTCTTAGTATCACATACCTCCCCCAGAAGACTTCCATATACGCTGCGTGGCTGGGGTTGTTGGTTCGCCCTCATCGGGTGTTCGTGACGGAGCTGGTCGATCGAGCAGCCGAGTTGTTGGGAGAATGCTCAAGTGTTTTGGGAATGAAAATTCTCATGCGTTTTCTGGTGGAGTTGGCAAATTGTCGGTGTGTGCTGTTGGAATCGGTTTTGGCGGCGATGCAGGAGTTGGTGGACTTGGGTAAAAATGAGGATGTCCGAAATTCGGAAATGTCGGTTTATATCACCATGCATGGTTTGCTGGTGTTGAGCGCGGAGCTGTATAAAGAAAATAAGGAGGCGATTGACAAGCTGATCGATTTGGGGATAAAAATTCACGAGGAGAGAAGTGAAAGGCGTGGAAAATTGGCAGCCTGCGTGGCGGCGTCTTCTGAGTTTGTGAGTGAGGACGACTTTGATCGGCTTGTGGAGGCTGTGGTATCGATGAGAAAACAGGTCTGGGAGGCTGTGGCGAGCGGGGAGGAAAGTCCGGTTTTGTTGAGGCCGTATGAGATGTCGGGCCTGGCGCCCAAGTTGGCTGTGAATCAACCGGAGCACATGCTGGAGGTTCCTAACATTGAGTGGAAAATGGAGAGGCTTGGTAGTAATGTAAATCTCGCTCGCCCTGAAATCGATCGGGGATGGATAATGGGGTTGTTGAAAATGAGTAAAAATTTGTTGAGAAAAGGAAAACTGTTGTGAAAAAAAAAGAAATTGTTTTATGGAGTCGATGAAAATGTTGAAAAAAAATTGAAAAATTCGTGATTTCTTCGATCATTGGTAGTATGTTGGAGGACCTAGGAAGTAGTTTACTGTGTTGACGATGTAGTAGCTACTTTAGGAATTTTCCTGCATACACGAGATTTCCACGATGACCCGTTTAACGTGAAGTGGCGTAATACTGTATGTGCATCACAAGACGTATATGTTTCCGCGACCGATAACGCAAGTGTTTTCTCCGAAGTGGAATGTGAAATATGTTTTTCACTGGTGTTTTTCATATCACGGGTGAAACGCTATGATATAACACTAGGCCACTTATGTTTCCCTTTGACATGCTGATACATACGTTTTTCTACTATGCGTTTTATGGTTTCTTAGGGTTTTTTATGTTTTTTTTTATTTTTTTATGGATTTTTAAGGTTTTTTAGGGTTTTCATGTTTTCTACGATTTTTATGTTTTTTCATGGTCTTCATGGTTTTCATGGTTTTTTATGGTTTTTCCCTCTGTCGTGTCTTAACTTTGTGATTGAAATTGTTATTGTTCATTTACCTTCATTTCCTTTTAGATTCTCTTCCTCGTTGCTTCCCGTTTCGTATCCCTCTGACCTCAGCCCGTCATAATGGCGAGGAGGTTGCTGGCAAGTGTCTGTCACTGCATGACACCTACATATTGGACACTCTGTTTGACGAGATTATGACGGCATTCGATAAACGTAGTAGTTGGCCGTAAGGGGATCGGTTTCCTAGTTATATAGCGTTATGAATTTATATAGTCTTTTCTGGAAACTGCGGGAAAGTGATAATGGTGCGTAATGTAAACCGTCGGTCGATCTCATCAAGAGAGTTTTACGCAATAATATATCTATGGTTAGCTGTTAATGGAGTTTTATTCGCTTTACGTGAAGTGACGTGGTAAAACTCGGTGAAAAAATGCGATATTCGCGGTGATATGCAGGAGTCGTAGAGTATGTTTTACACTAGTGTTTTTCATATCACTAGTGTGGTGAAAACTAGTGTTATTACTACCATATTTTTACTAGTAGTATAAATGACTACTATTGATATCCTACGTATTCCTCCCATACTTATTAGTGTAATTGTTAGAGATAAATTGGTGAATATTATCATTGGAGTTTCATCGGTGATATTAAAAACAGTAGTGAAAAACACACTTTACATTTCACTTCGCGTAAAACGGGTGAAACTCCATTATAGCACCATATTTATACCTTCTCTATTGTCACTTCGCGTGGATAAGAATTTGTGAAGTTACTATGGCGAGTGAAATAGATTGTTTCCCGTTGTCATGATGATCGATAACTACTTCGATTTTTCAGAGCTAATGCGAAGGAATTGTAGTATATAGAATTTGACGGATTTATGGTAATTTATTTATTTTTCAGATGTTGGAGAGTGCGCCAAGCAGCTGCTAAAGGTTCCTGTCATGTCGGAAGACTTCCTCCCGAGATTGGTTGATAGTATGTTTAACCGTCTAGTGCGGCCGTATGCTATGGATCGTATACAAGAGGTACTAGAGGAGGGCATGGGAGGACGAGTATTGAGGTTGTTGGGCTAGAGTGTATCTTGCGGATTTGATACGACCATGTTATATTCATATTAATTCGAACATTGATAGAACGTGAATAAATAATGTTGTTGCTGTCAAGTGAATCACCCGGGTTCGATCCGAGCATATGTCTTTTTAATAGTATTATTTATATTTATTTATGTTAATTCGAACATAGATAGTATGTAGGTAGTAATTTGCTCAACGCGTGTCGAGCCTCGTCACTCTGGTTTGGTTTTGAACAATCATGCCGCGGATATTCTCTCCGAGTATTTGTGGTTGTCGTGAAATACGACGGCTTTGCTCGAATTTATTGGTTTTTTTTGGATTTGATGTAAAATTTTTGACTTTTTTTTCAGCCCCCTAAACTCTTCTTCACTCGCCTTATACACAGTGTTATGGCGTTACAGTCGAGCACTAAGCCACTCATTGAGGAGGCGTTGAAGTTGTTGATATCTGGACCGAAGCCTTTGGTGGATGCAGGATCGGATATACGTATGGAAATGGTAGGAGGTGCGGTATGGGAAAATGAGTGTTTTAGTGACAATATGGGAATTGCGAGGAAATTATTCTTTCTAGTTTTTGTATATTCTCCCGAGAGTTTTGTGTAAAATTTTATGAAGTAGTTTTGGAGAATTTTGAGCTCAGCTGAGAAAAGCAAATGAATATTCCAAAAATGTCGAATGTGAATCGCATCGCTCCGCTGTATAGAGTGTTGTTGCTCATGTCAGGCTCTGGCGGACTTCTTTGCGATGCATTTGATCAACTCGGACTATAAGTGGGAATTTGATATCGACCCGAGTAGGTTGGGGGGCCGGGTTTTGGGATTCGCTCGATTTACGGTATGAATTTCTGCCGTGTTGTCCCCTGCATTCGGAGGAGTTGGTATTAGTGTGAATGTCGGGTGTATTGCTGATGAGGGTGTGAGAGGGGAATATGCACAATGCCAACTACATATTTTGGTGTATGAAAATGCCGAGGAAATTTTGTGAAGTTGCTGTTGATTTCTGCATATTTCTACCCAAATTCATGTGGAAATTTTGAAGCTCTGAAGGCTGGGAAAAGCGAACATATATTCCAACACTTACTGAGAGTGAATTTCATTGAGATTAGAGTAGATCTTATGGGTTGCTGTTAAACTAGGACTGTCAGTTGTGAATGTAGCATGGGAAAGGGGCCGAGTAGAGCAGATAAAATAGCAAATTTCTGCAAGTCTCAATTTCTGAAAATTGTTGAAGTTGCGAGGAGTGTAGTTGCGCTGAATTTAGTGATTGGAAATAATGTGGAGTGTGATGGTTATGATAATAATCTCGAAATTGGTTTTCTGTTTTTTGCATTTTTTCTGCCGAGTTATGAGGGTAGTGGCGCTGAATTTCGCGTCGGTAGTAAAGGAATGGATAGTTGGAAGTTGACTTTATGTTGGTCAGATAGTCCCACCAGACAGTCCCAAGGCCTTCTGCGTGCGGGCATTGCGGCATTGCTACGGCTAAGCTTTCATCAGAATCTACTGGCACATCTTCCTGACACAGTGAGTGGGCGGCGAAGCGAAGAATTTATTGAATAGGCTTATTTTGGACCTGATCTGTATCTAACCAGCTTGAACCTAAGATTCTCCAGGTACATTCCCTGATACCACCGGAACCGAGAGTTAATAATAAGTACGCTGTAAATCCCACTCCTCTCTACACCGAGATGACCCAGTTAGTTAGAGTTAAGGACGCAGACGAGAGTGCTGTATTGGGTGAGTAGTACAGTAGCGCTCGCCCTGGTAATCGATTTAAATGTAGATAAATTATCTGGTGTATTGCGACGGAACAGCAACTGCTGCTGGAGCGATAGAGGAGTT